CCCAACCCCCACACCTTTATAGCCCTGAGACCCTGGGAATCCTGCAGCCCTTAGATTCAGATCCCATTTAGGTACTGCCCCCATACAGTAAGAGTCTACAATAGGGCTACGGTTAAGGTCCTAATATAATAGGGTTTAGGGTTTAGGGTTTAGGGTATATATCTATATGATGAATATTCTTCAACTATCACTGAGTGGGGTGCCGTAACCCAAGATCCCGTGATCAACCCTGTAGAGCCCTACGATCCCCCCAGAAGAACCGCACAAAACCCCTTGGCCTATGTTGAAACCCCAAAACCGAACCCTAAACCCTAAACCCTAAACTCTAAACCGCAGGCCCAAAAGTTCTAAAAACCCCTTGAGTTTTTAACCCTAAACCCAAAACCCAAAGTTCCAAATCTAAAACCCCAAACCCAAAACCCCAAAAGTTCTAAAACCTGAAACCATGGGCCCTCTGAACCCTTGAAACTAGTTCATGGTTGGGATAGGATTAAAAATTTACATTTTTATTCCTTATTGGGTTAGGTACCCATACAAATGTAAAATGTTACCCAACTATGACAAAGGAAAGGAGTCTCGGGCTCCCTGGGCCAGTCGCAGGAAAGGTTAAAACTTGCCTCGGCCCCGTATCGCCACTAAGCTGCTGCCTCGAAGGTCTCAGACCTTCGATGCCAAAAAGCTCGGGCGTCCGGCCTGGCTGCTATGCAGATTCGAGCATGTGATGCTTGAATTAGAAGACTGTGCCGCAGAAGGCACTGGCTATATAGCATCGCTACCAATAGATCACTACTAGAGGGGCCCCTGGCGATCACAGATCTCATCCGTCGTACTCGCCCTCCTCCTCGTCGAACTCGCCTTCCTCCTCGGCAGTCGCATCCTGATACTGCTGGTACTCGGAAACGAGGTCGTTCATGTTGGACTCGGCTTCCGTGAACTCCATCTCGTCCATACCCTCACCTGTGTACCAATGCAAGAAGGCCTTGCGCCGGAACATCGCGGTGAAGTACTCTGCAACCCTCTTGAACATCTCCTTACTTCCCGAAAAAGCCAGGGAACTAAGAGGTCAAACTTTCAGAGTACTACTATAAGAGCCCAAAAAACCCTAAACCCTGAATCCCGCAACCCCTAAAGCCCAAAAACGGTAGTAAGCCCAAAAACCCTAAACCCTGAATCCCACAACCCCTGGAACCCAAAAACGGTAGTAAGCCCAAAAACCCTAAACCCTGAATCCCACAACCCCGAAAAACCCACAAACGGTAGTAAGCCCAAAAACCCTAAACCCTGAATCCCACAACCCCTAAAACCCCCAAAACCATGAGTATTGAAGAACTAAGTCTCCTGGATGGCGGTAGAGTTGCCAGCGAAGGCCACGGCCATCTTGAGTCCTTTCGGAGGGATGTCCTTGGATGAACCCATAGGGGTTTGGGGTTTAGGGTTTGGGGTTTAGGGTTTAGGGTTTAGGGGCTTAGGGTGGTTTAGAGGGGTCTTGGCTGATGTGATTCCATATAGGGGCCTTGACAATCGGCTTGTAGTGTAGATTATAGTATAGGCTAGTAATGACTGCGAGTTGCTAGTACGATTTATTCCTTCGCAAGCCCTGCGGTCCCACGACCGTCAAGCTCTGCTTATGCAGAGACCTTCTGGTGCTTCCCAAGGTCACAGACGGATGCCTTGATGTTGTTCGGGATCCACTCCACGAAGTACGATGAGTTCTTGTTCCTTGATAGTTCAATTTGATCAAATTGTAGATACTCCCCACGCAGTCGCGCTATGATATACCCCAGAAACCCTATGCTTTCGAGTAAGACCCCTACCTGGAGGCTCATGGGACTTAGTAAGTAAGGTTCTAAGTGGGTTACAACTAGGATAACCCCACTTAGGGGACTTATAACCCCACTTATAACCTACTTACTAAGTCCCATGATCCTCTAAGTACACTAAACCACCGAGACTCGCCGAAGCGGGCTTAGAGTCTAGAGCTAGGGTTTAGGGCTAAGGGTTCTCCAACAAGAACTCCGAGATTGTATTTCGTTGAACTCTCGTACATCGTACAATATTATTGAATATAATTGTACTGTACAGGGATAACACGCACTAGCTAGTGCGGCCACTTTTCATGCGATTCAACCCAACATAACGGTTCAGAAGCTCAACTGCCAAGGTGCTGGACGTTGAGCAGTTGCTCATCCACCTCTTTCGTAGACATTCGGCCCCGGAAGAGTGCTGCCGCCGTCAGGTAGCGGCCATGACGGGGATCCGCGGCACACATCATGTTTTTCGCATCGAACATTTGCTGTGTCAGCTCCGGGACCTAGTTCATGGTTGGGATAGGACTAAAAATTTCAATCTTTATTCCTTATTTGGTTCTTAAGTACAAAATTCCTTATTGGCTTTAAGTACCCATAAAAATGAAAAATGTTACCCAACTATGACAAAGGCACTGTCAGAGCCCGGTACTGCTGCGAGCCGCGGGAGGTCAGAGGGGCGAAGCCCGTCATGAAGAAGTGCAGCCGCGGGAAGGGCACCAGGTTCACGGCGATCTTGCGCAGGTCGCAGTTCAGCTGCCCGGGGAAGCGCAAACAACACGTGACGCCGCTCATGGCCGCAGACACCAGGTGGTTCAAGTCACCGTAGGTGGGTGTCGTAAGCTTCAAAGTTCGGAAGCAGATGTCGTAGAGGGCCTTGAAGGAAAGCATGAGTTGTAGGGTTTAGGGTTTAGGGGTTTAGGGGTACACTTACACCATTCAACTGCGGCATGCGCAACACATGAGTTGTCCTTGTTTTCTCAACCCAGAGCCAACCTCAAAGCAATGAAGCCCTTCACCCTGAAGCCGATACTCAAAAGCCCAATACCCACCCCGAGGTACACACTTAGCTTAAACATCCTTAATCCTTAAACAAAATAGTATGAGGAATCCCAGTGCTGTTTGAAGGATATTCCTTTACTTTGGGGGGGGGGGGTGCTGGAATCTATGGGTACCGTGAACTCTCCTCATTGTCCAGCAAGAAAGACTCGTCGGAGTTCTCAACAAGCTGGTGGAAGCTCAGCACAGCCTCGAGTCGTGAAACACCTGACCCTACAAACATCTGAACCCCAAGCACTATCAGGTGGAGTCGTGAATAGTTAGATTAAAGGCTGGGGGTAAATACCATGACTTTAGGGAATGGTATGTCTAAATCTGCAGGCCTCCATCTTGCCCTACCCTGCACACCATACGCCAAACTGCACAGGGTTTCTGACTTGGGGCTTTAAGGCTTTGGGACTGACGCTTTGCTAACGTTCGGGGTTCGGGGCCCTAAACCCTAATGTAGGAACCTGATTAAATACCCTGCGCCTATAACACCAAAACAGTAGGATTCATATAAAGAACCCTATTAACGGCCCAAGGCTTCTAAATCAGGTTCCTACAGTATTCTAATTGTTAGGGCCCCTAGAGTAAGCCCTTATAGTATACAACCCTTACAGCAATCCTTAGAGATAGGACCCTTTAACGTAAATCCTTATGGTAACCCTTATATAACAATCCTTATAGATAGAACCCTTCAAAGTAAATCCCACACCCTAAACCGCACTTGCTTCTCTGGTTTTTCAACTCCAGGATCTGGGTCTGAATACTTAGCACCACGATGTCTTAAATTTCTTTCACATGATTTAGGGTTTAAGGTTTAGGGTTTCGAGACTGCGGCTGGTGTTTTAGGATTCTGTGCTTTGGCTCACTGCGGGATTGATTGAGGGCTTGCGTCTGAGTAGTTAGAAATAGCACTTAGGCTCCTATAGTCCCGAATATAACTATACTAAAGTAGACCCCACCGGGCGCCCATTCTACTGAATTGAATGAGATGCCCTCAGGATGTCGTGCAAAAGCTTCAGAGGGTGTAGACTCAGACGGCATGATGCGCAGCTGCGGGTCATTCGACATCATTTGGCTAGCGTGGCAGGAGATTCTCTTCTTGATGCAGCAACTCTCGGAATCTGCTCCAGCCCTACTGTTTGAGGACCTTTTCGGTGCCAGCTGGATGTACACAGAGAGCCCAATACTCCTTAATTAAGGAATATGTCTGAAATTATAATATGAAGCCCTATATAACCTTGGCCATATCCCTTAATTAAGGGGTATTGGGCTCTCTGGGTACACAAACTTACGTTGCTGTTTGCAAGGCTTGGGTGTTGCAGACGCTAAGGCCGTGGACAGATAAATGCAATCCGAGCGGCATTGTACGGCTCCACGACTGTGTCGGAAACTTTGGGACTAGGAATCACCGAAAACGTCTCCATGATTCGATCAGGGTACTCCTCGCATAAGAGACCACACGCTTCGAGACAACCGCAATCTACAAACATCAGAACCTACAAACATCACTTACATGATTCTTCTATGCTACACTATATTAGACTGGACTGTGTTATGTTATACTACATATCATTTTAAAGCCAGAGCATATACTAGCACAAAGCTTCTGTCATGCACTGAGTCCTCGCGCACTTTAGACACCAGCAACGTGCCCATGCCGGCTCCAGTGCCTGCAACCCACAAGTACTGAAGCTCGCCACAAACCTTTAAACCCCATCCGACTTCCGAGCATGAACAAGTGACAAATACAAGGACCCACCGATGCCTCCCCCAAGGGAGTGGCAGAGCTGGAAGCCCTGCAGACAGTCGCAGCCCTCAGCTTCTTTCCTCACCACGTCCAGCACGCTGTCGATCAGCTCGGCACCTTCGGTGTAGTGTCCCTTGGTGCACAGGAGTCGTTGCGGCTTAGACGTTGAAGGTTTAGTTTAAGGTGCAATTTACGATTTAGGATGTGAGGTTTAGCATGCCGGGTTCAAGTTTGGGGCAGCGTGAAGATTAGAAGCCAATCAAACCTGCAACCGACAAGACATCCCGTCAAAGGCGACGGCAATTCCGAACAAAGCCAAGTGTCTTTAGCCCAGTTGTTGCCTGTTTTAGGGGTTTGTGTTTAGGGTTTAGGGTCTAGGGTTTGGGTTTAGGGTTTAAGGCCTATCTGTATTCAGCCACAATGTTGCCTGCCCCAGTCTGACCAAACACGAAGTTGTCAGGACGGAACAATTGGCCGAAAGGTCCAGCTCGAACACTGTCCATGGTGCCTGCAAACGCAGATCAATCTTCGATCTGATTTTCTAGACTTTACGGTTCAGGCTTACAGTTAGGGCATAAGGGTTGAGTTTAGGGTTTAGGGTTCAGGAATTGGTGGTTCCGAACTTCTCGAGTTAATGCTATGACACAACTTATGGGAAACATAAGAGGGTACTGCTGAGAAAACCTTATGTACACTGAAAGTATCCTTACAGAAACCCTAAAGGGACCCAAAGGGACCCCGAGCCTGGTTCAAGATCCATCAAGACTGCACGGGGCACATAGCGGCCGCCAGTTGCCTCGTTGAAGTAAACGTTGATCCTTGCGGCTCAGGGTTCAGGGTTTTGGGCTTAGGGTTTAGGGTTAGGGGTTTAGGGTTTAGGGGTTTAGGGTTTAGGGTTTAGGGGTTCAGGGTTTAGGGTTTAGGGTTTAGGGGTTTAGGGGTTTAGGGGTTTAGGGGTTTAGGGTTTAGGGGTTTAGGGGTTTAGGGGTTTAGGGTTTAGGGTTTAGGGTTTAGGGTTTACAGGCTTCAAGATTGAAAGTCTGGCTTGGCTTGATTAACTAGGCACTTCTAGCACTTTCCACATGTTCGACCCATCTAGCGGCGGTTTTTTTTTTCGGTGCGGCCAACCCTCTTTTTTCGGAGGTGCGGCCAAGGATTTGTTCAGGTTGGACACGCAGGATCCCTGTAGAGGGTTCATCGGCGACGTAAAGAATTTGCGCCGCACCACAGCGCCAGCGCTTCGACACACAGAATCCCTGTAGAGGGTTCATCGGGGTCGCGCCGCACCACAGCGCGGGCGCTTCGAGGGGCAGGATCCCTGTGGACGGGGTGAGGCATCAAAAAACTCATCATCAAAAACAAATTAGATCCAGGGATCAACGAAAAACTAAAGAAAAAATAATGGGAAATGCAGCCATTTCCAAGACTATTTGCCTTGGTGGCGGTGGTGGTGTCGTTGATGTCGTTGCTGTCGTCGTTGGTGGTGGTGGGGTCGTTGATGTCGTCGTGGTCGTCGTCTTGGTTGCTGTTGTTGTTGCTGCTCTTCGCGTTAAACCCCCTGGAGCGTGGCTGTCTGGCTTTCCCCTTCTTGTGTGTTGCCGAATACGTTTATGTTCATTTCTTCGCGGCTTTAGAGAGCGGGGAGTTTAGTCTAAAACAGCGAGGGCTTGGGGGGGGAACTCGCCCTATTTGCAAAGCTGTTAAACCCTTCAGGATTGATTGTGCTTTCTTCGCGGTAAACTCCCCTGGAGGGTGGTTGTCTGGCTTTCCCTTTCTTGTGTGGCTTTAGAGAGCGGTGGAGTTTAGTCTAAAAAAAGCGGGGGGGTTGGGGGGGGCGCAGCCCCCCCCATTTGCAAACCTTTTAAATCCTTCAGGATTGATTTTGTCTTCTTCACGTTAAACCCCCCTGAAGCAGTGTTGTCTGGTTTTATTCCTTTTTTGTGTTGGCAAACACGGTTTTATTTATTTCGTGACGGCTCAAACGACCGGTTGGCAAACACGTTATTGTTGATTACTTCGTGGCTCAAGAGAACTTCCAAGTCATTCATGATTGATTGTGTTGCTTCGCGCTTAACCCCGCTGAATCAACAACCCGAGAGAATCCGTGTTCTGAACCTGGGTCCTAACCCGAATTAGAACCTAGGTTCAAACCCAGGCTTGAACCTGGGTTCCGAACCTGAATTTCCAACCGTCTGCCTTCCTTCTATCTTTTCTTTCTTTCTGTTCTTCTTCCTTGCTTTGGTCCTTGTTCTGGGGTGTTTCGTTCTGTCTTCCTGGGTTCTTTTCGTTTCAGGTGGAAAAAACCAAGAAAAGCACACCAAATCTGTCCAAAACGTGAGGAAAATAGTGTTTCCCCAAGGAAAGCCATGGAAAAACACCAAACAAAAATTTCAACAACAAGATCCAAAATAATAGGCCTTCCATATGTATATATATATATATATGTATAAAGGTTTATATACACACATATGTACTCTCTCTCTCTCTCTCTCTCTCTCTCTCTCTCTCTGTATATATATATATATATACACTATATAAATAAATAAATATATATATATATATATATATATATATATATTATTTACACTATATATATATATTATATATCTATATACATACAATTTTATAATATCTACTATATCTACTATATATACTATATATACTATATATACTAGATCTACTACATATACTATATAAATATGTATATATTATAAATATACTATATATACTAGAATATACTGTATAAACTATATATACTAAGGTTATATCTCCTGTACTTATTACATATACTATATATATATATATATATTGAAACTCTATGTATATCTGTATATATATACATATACTATATATACTATGTACACTAAATATACTATATATATACATATAAATATCATACTATATATAGTATATTACTATAACATATATATACTATATATATATATCTATATATATAAACTCTATAATATATAACAAACTTATATAGACATATACGTATAGATTATATTATATTCTTACCATTTATCTTTTCTTTTATTCTATTCTATCTCTTATATTACATTATATTTATTTTTTCAATTCTATTAAATTCCATTATATTATCCTATAATCTTTATGTTATATATATATTCTCTTATATTCTATGATATTCTATTATATTCTATGATATTCTGTTATATTTATTATATTCTATTATGTTCTATTCTATGCTATTATATATAGATTTCTATTCTATTCTATTTTATGATATTCTATTCTATTATATGATATTCTATTCTAATATATTATATTATATTATATTATATTATATCTTTTTACATTATATTGTATTTCTTTATTATATTGCATTATGTTGTAGTATATTACAGTATATTATACTACATTAGATTACATTATATTACATTATATTACATTATATTACATTATATTACATTATATTATATTATGTTATATTACACTACATTACATTATATTATATTATATTATATTATATTTCATTATACTACATTATATTAGATTACATTATGTTATATTATACTATATTATATTATGTTACATTATATTTTATTACATTATATTATAATATATTATATTATATTCCATTATATTATATTATAATATATTATCTTTACTGTACATACTATATATATATATATATATATATATATATATATAGTATACATACTATATATACAACATGTACTATGTATACTATGTATATACATATATATATATATATATACTGAAATACTACCGTCCTTCCTTTCTTCCTTCTTTCTTTCCTTCCCTGTTTCCTTCCTTCCTTCCTTCCTTCGTTGCTCTCCTCCCTCCTTGCTTTGCTTCTTCTTTCCTTTCTTCCTTCGATCCTTCTTCCTTCCTTCCTTCCTTCCTTCCTTCCTTGTCTCCTTGCTTTCTTCCTTCCTTCCTTCCTTGCTTCCTTCCTTCTCTCCCTTCTTCTTTCCTTGTTCCTTCCTTCCTTCCTGCCTTCCTTCCTCCTTCCTTTTTTCCTTGCTTTCTTCCTTCCCTGTGTAAATAACAGGACGTGGGAGCAAAAGAAAGAGGGCCAAAAAAAGGCACAAACAAAAATGGGTTCCCGTTCTTGTTTCTCTTTCATTCCTTGCTAGCTCCTGTGCTTTCTTGCTTTCTTTTGTGCTTCCTTCCTGGCTTTCTTTCCTTCATCATCTTTCTTCTGCTTTTCTTTCTTCTGGGGTTGTGCTTTATTTGTGTTATTCCTTGTTTGCTTTCTTGTTGCTTTTGCGGGACCGAGGGACCGGCGGACCGCAGGACCAGGAAACCACGGGACCAGGAGAGCACGGGACCAGAGGACCAGAAGACCAGAGGGCCAGAGGACTACAGGACCAAGGACCAGAGGACTGGGGACCGCATGCACGGACACCACAGGACCAGAAGACCAGCAGACCGGAGGACCAGGGAACCACAGGACCAAGGACCAGAGGACCAGGGGACCGCATGCACCAGGGACCCTTGGCCGCACCTCGCAAAAAAGGGTTGGCCGCACCTACGAAAAAAAAAAAACCATGGCCCCGCATCTAGCCAAGAGGTGCAACAGATTATAAACCCCACAAAAGCCCTCTAAAGCCTCAAAACCCCAAAGCGCTGAAACCCATTGCACTGAAGCCTAAACTCTCCCGCTACATTTCAAGATAGCTTAAAGGCAGGCTGAAACCGTAAACCCCCGAAGCTCTAAACCCTAAACGGTGAAGCCTGAAGCCTTAATATAGAAATCTGAATACGTACCACGATTATCTCTTAGGGCTCCTATGCTTAGTTTACAATAACATACCCCAGAGCCCTCGGCCCTATTCTAAGGCCCCTATACCTTAGCGCTCCTATTGTCTATCATGTACCCCAAGCCCCTATTCTAAGGCCACTATATGCACTTTTTAAAGGAACCCCTTTACAGGAACCCTTAAAGAGACCCGCTCAACGAAACCCATGTGTAATTATGAAGGCCCTTTATTCACCCCGCAACCCTGTTAAGTAACCCCTTACAAGAAATCTTATAATTACCCTAAACCCTGAACCCCTAAACCCTAAACCCCTAAACCCTAAACCCCTAACCCCTAAACTCTAAACCCCTAATTAAACCCTAAAACCCTAAACCCTAAACCCTGAACCCCTAAACCCCTAAACCCCTAAACCCTAAACCCCTAAACACTAAACCTGAACCCCTAAACCCTGAACCCTGAATTCATGGCCCCTGTAGCAACCCGAAACGGCGCCGCGGTCCTCTCCAGTTGGAGGTCGGAGTCTCCATGATAGGTGCCTTGGGTGGTTTTTCTTTTTTTTTGAGGTTTTTGCGGGCTTAAGGGTTTAGGGATTTAGGGTTTTAGGGTTTAGGGCTTAGGGCTCAGGGACTTAGGGCTTTAGGGGTTACTGTAGGGTTTTGGGGCTTGTTTACATTCTTTGGGGCGTGTAAAGGCGCTATGACTTTGGGGGGTTTAGGGTTAGGTGTTTGGTTGATAGATTACATTAATAATCATTAATAGGGTTCTTTCGGATCTTCTGAGGGTTTTATACTGAGCGTGGTATGAGGGTTTAAGACTACAGGTTACCGCGTCTACAAAACTTACACGACGCACTTTGCACTAGGATCGACTGCAAGTCGGTCACCCTTTTCTAGGATGCCCAGTAACCTAGGAATAAACAGGGCTCCCTTCTAGGGCAACTAAATAAGGAACCTAGGACTACAAAAAGGGAATAAGGGTACTTCTGGGCATCCTAGTTTTTCCCTGGGCCCGAAACACAACAAATAGCTTGCCTGTAGGGTCGATTCCATGCTCATCGGCGATGACTTCCCAGAACTTGGCACCGATCTGATTGCCGCACTGACCTGCAATTTTTTCGGTTTGTCTGCCAGGCACCTAGACCCGAAGGCGGTTAGCGGCTGCACGAAAACCTGTAAAAAGCGATGATGAACACAACCGTTCGTTCTTAGCAGGCTTGGCTGGTGGCAGAATGAAGCTCCTCGAACACTGCTACTGCGAGATCCAACATCATGTGGCAAGCGAAGCCGAAAACTTAAACCCCGACCCCCCTCAAAAAAAAAACAGAAACAAAAAAGCAACCTAGCACCACAAGATCAGAAAATGCAAGGGCGGAGAGCAACCTTGAGAACCCGATACCGGTTGAATGCATTGTAACGCTCAGAGTGCAAAGGCAGCCGTCTGATGTTTCGATACTCTACAGTGCGGTGCTAGACAACCAGGGGCCCAAAGCCCAAACCCTAAACCCTAAAACCCTAAACCCCTAAACCCCTAAACCCCTAAACCCCTAAACCCTAAACCCCTGGGTGCTCCGATCGAGGAGTAAGCAGGGGCTCTGGGGGCATCCCCGGCCTCCCTGGATGTGCACGAGCTCGCGCATGGCTGGAAGAGTGTGGTTTGAGGATGGCGGGAAGCTCAGAAGTATTGTCAAGTGCTCTTGAGCCAAGTCAAAGGCCCGGTAGACAGGCTTTTTTATCACGGTTTAGGGTTTAGAGGGGTTTAGGGGTCTAGGGTTTAGGGTTTAAGGCTTTTAAGGTCTCGGGCTTAGGGCTTAGAGTGTCGTGCAACAGTGATCATCCGGTCTGACATCTGCCCAAGCAAAGTATGCAACGACTCTTGGCAAGCACCTTAAGCCTTAAATCCTGAACCCTTTAAACCGTAGCCCAGAGAGCCCAATACCCCTTAACTGAGGAAAATGGCTTAAATTATATGGGGCTTCATACTATGATTTAAGCTATATTCCTCAATTTAGGGGTATTGGGCTTTCTGGGAAACCCCATGATTAAACCCGAAATCCCTAAACTCGAACACAAACCTCGGTCGAACTGACACATCATCGGCTCTCCTCGCAGGAAACGTCGTCCACTGCAAAGTTCCTGAGATCTGCATCGGGGGTTCCTTAAAGGGCTCCTTCAAGGAATCTATAGGGTTACATTAAGGGATCCGTAGGGTTTTGGGTTTAGGGTCTACTATCTGCATTTAGGGTTTGATACCCGTGCTCCCCTCAGAAGGTGAACAAACGGAATCGTCTTGGAGATCCGTTGTAAAGCAACCATAGCCCAAGAAAGTAGATAACAAAACCAAGCTCCAAGTAGGTTTTCAAGGTTCAGCGTACAGGGTATAGAACTTGACATTTCGGATCTCTAGGTGCCTGGGATCTCCAACCAATGCGTCGTCAGGGACATCGAAACCCTAAACCGTTTACGGTTTCGAGCTTTTCGCCCCGTGCTGCGGACGAACCCCACTTCGGCGTCAAAGGTTCGGGGTTTACGGGGGGCGTCAGGCTTCAGGATTTACCTGCACCCCCCCCGATCCTAACAAAAACAATAGTTCAACTATTCTCTTGGGCTGTATATGAAAAATAATTCCTAAGGAGACGATGGTTACGTTACGATAGAATGCCTACAATAAGGAACCTAAGGAATAACGTTGGTAGTAATTGTTCAAGCTTCTCAGATTCTCCATCCTCCAAACACACTCTGCATAGTCCCTATAAGGAACCCTTCAGCCAGAGAATTTTGCTTAATGCACTGTTCCCTAGGGTTCCATCGTACACGTCTACTCCCAAACGCTATTGCACCCTATATGGGAGTTTCCGAAAATAGGGGACCCTAATATAGTACCCTGAATACGAGGATCCTTACTATAAGGACCCTAAAATAAGGTACCCCTAATTTCGGAAACTCCCATATTCTTCTCATTAAGGCGCCCTATACGAATTGAGCCACGGTGCGCAACGATGGCAGCGGGCGGGCTCTCCTGCACTGGACAGAGGTTTTACGAAAGGGCCCCCTTTAGGGTTTAGGGTTTAGGGTTTAGTTTTTAGGGTTTAGGGTTTAGGGTTTGATCAAGGGGCGGGGCTTTTCATTTTAGGGCGTGAAGGAGTTTGGTGCTTGTGGCTGTTAGGGGTCTAAGGCTAAGGGTTTCAAGCTTCAGAGCTTAGCGGCCTGGTTTCGAAAGCAACTCATGAGTAGAGGTAGAGAGAGGATAAGATAAGTCTAGTTAGGGCACTTAGACCTCTCCTTCGGTTGATGATATAAACCCTGCATTGCCCATAAGAAGGAATATACCATAATTCCCATAGTTTGGGGTCCTTAAGGTCATGCAGGATTTATATTACGGCCTACTTACTAAGCCCGCTGATCCGATAAGTGGAGGCTTAGAGCTCCCTGGGGCTTGTTTTCACATTCTGCATGCATTCTGGTTTGCTGTATGACCCGTACCCTTCAATCCCTGAACCCTAAACCCCTACAACCCTAAACCCCTACACCCCTAAACCCCTAAACCCCTAAACCCTGAACCCTAAACCTCTCAACCCGAAACCCTGAACCCTAAACCGCATACCCTTCAAGGAAAAAGCAAGCCCGCGCAGGATGAAGCTCTTGCTACGAAAAGCTCCCGGGGTTTAGGGTTAGGGTTAAGGGGTTTAGTAGGGGTTTAGGGGTTTAGCGTTTAGGGGTTTAGGGTTTAGTAGGGGTTTAGGGGTTTGGGGTTTGGGGTTTAAAGGGTTGAAGCTGTAGGGAGCAGCAGCGGTTGACAGCACATTAGCAGAGTGAAGGTTCACTGCAGACAAAGCATTACTCGGTTGCTCCAGGCAAGTGCCGCACACTACACTACTTGTAACCCCAGCTGCCAACACTTATAAGTTGTACAAATACTTACATACAGTAGAAGCCTAAAAGTTGGAAACCCAATAGCCTCTATCTTAAGAATAATGTAGAGGGAATCCCAGCACTATTTGGCCTTAATCCGGTTTCCAACTTTTGGGCTTCTACTGTACTTACAACTGGCCATGAGCCAAGCGAGGATCCTCTAATTCAGGAGCCAAAATAAGTACTCCGAAATGACAGGGTTTTGGAGTTCCTGGGCCAAGTGTAGCATTGCGTTTAGGTTTTGGGATTACCGCAAGATTCAAGTGTTTAGGGTTGAGGGTCTACGGTTTGGGCTGTGGGGTTTTGCTTGAGAGGGGATTTCGTGTATAGGGGAGACTCGGTAGAAGGTTGCGTTCCGCTTGGAATAAGCCCAAAGCTCGTCTCGTCAGAAGAATTGACATAAAATGGCTTGAGAGTTCAGCGTGGCTTTCGGGAACTGTGACTTAAGCTGAGTACTCTGGTCCGAACACAGTTATGCAGTTAGTTCTGGCAGGGTCATATGAAACCCAAACAAAGTCTACGGAGCTTCTAAATGCCCACAAGGAACCCTAGACCCCAGTTTCAACCCCAGAACCCCCTGTAGAAACCACTATAGATCCCTGAAAGAACCAGCAAAAAAAACTTACACAACCCCTAAACCCTAAACCCCGTTTACAAGAATCCGTGAGGTGAAGGGAAGGGATCCCGGATGCCTTGTCGTACATCTCCGGGAGCTGTAGGTCGACATGGAGCCTTTGGTGCGTGTCCTCGGCCGAAGGTTCCCAGAGACTCCAATCTGCCTTAACTAAGGAATCTTCCGAGGGTTCCTTTAAGGGATCTATAATCTATAAGGGATCTATAGGGTTTAGGGTTTAGGGGCTCCAAAATAACCCTGAATTAAGGAATATTCCTTAAATCATATTAGGGATCCTACCATAATTTAAGGAAGAATCCTGAATTAAGGGATATTGGAGTCTCTGGGTTAGAGGACCCCCGAAAGTTTAGGGATGAAGCAGCTTAAGGTTCTTAGGGAGCTTATGGTGTAAACAGCTTAGGGTATCAAGCAGTTTCGGTTCAAACTGCTAGACCTGAGAGTAGCCTAGGAATACAAAGGGTGGCCCTTTTTGGTTTAAAGGGGGTTATAAGGGAGCCTGAACCCTAAAAAGATGGAACTAAGGGCTTACTCTGGGTCCTAGGCTGCCTCTGGTCTAAAACAGGTTAGAGTCTAAGCTGGAGATTCAGGGTTAACACCAGTTTCAAGGTTTATCATCACAGGGAAGTACTTATGACACAAGACAACAGAACCCTAAACCCTAAACTACTGAGAAGCATGGGAAAAACTCAGAAGACACCCCACAAAACCATCCTCCAGACCTGCACCCTAAACTGGCCCTAAACCCTTAACCTTCAACCCTACACCCAAACGCAGCATGAGCCCAGGTCTCCGTCCCCCCAAGCACGAAGTCCCCACCGCCGCCGATGGCGATGTAGTCGCCCAAGAAAGCAGCCTCTCACTGCGTTTAGGGTTTAGGGGTTTTAGAGTTCAGGGCTTGGGCTCCATGAAGAAACTGCGCATGAGGGAATCATGTAGAATGTTATACCCAACTATGACAGAGTGAAGAAGTAGGTGAAAGTTTCGGACCTGGAGTTGAACTCCGGTGTTCAGAGCCCAGGGTGCGGAATACAAAACGGCCATGCATGTTCGCCGGCTGTGTCCCCAGACCTCCAAGACGGGTGTCAGAGACGGCAGATCGAGAAGCTGAGCCCACCTCAATTGGGGTTTCTTAACATCAGGGGATGTTCAGGTTGGATTTATACGGTTTTGTGAAGGTGTTTTATTCAGCTTCATGTCTTTAGAATGGCTCTAGAATCAGAAGGTTATATAGGCTTCTGAGTTCTTTTCATTAGGTGCCCTGGCCCTTTCAAGCGCGGTTTGCGACCAAATGCACTCTACACCTGAATCCTTAGACCGTAAACCCCTAAAACCGAAATCCTAAAACCTCACAACCATGGCTAAACCCTAAGCCTTAACCGACCCTGACCTCTGAAACACCATGGTGCAAGCCATAAAGTTGTAACATTATAATCCTCATGCCCTTCAGGTAAAGCACAAGGGATCCCAGCACTAGTCATCCTAAACCAATGTTCCAACTTTCTGGGGTCCCTGAACTAAGCCCCTACACCCTAAATCTTGAACCCTGCGTTTGAAACCATAAACCCTAAACCCTTGAAACCCTGAAAGCCAACCCCTCTGGTCAGAACTTGCGAGCTCAGGCGCTCCCGCACATGGACCATGTGGTGTGTCGTGGAAGCGCCGCCCCAGGAGTACCTGAAGCTTCCCAAGCTTATGGGCTTCGGGCTCGTGTTGAAGGGTTTAAGGTTCAGGGTTCAGGGTTTAGGGGTTTAGGGTTCAAGGTTTCGGTTCGATGACAAACACCAACGTCATTGAAAACTGGCTTCTTCTTTACGGAACCCTTACCCAGGGAGCCCAATACCCCTTAGTTAAGGAGTATGGCTTAAATTATAACGGGCTTGTTATGAGTTAAGCTATATTCCTTAGTTAAGGGGTATTGAGCTCTCTAGGTAATATGTCGAATGTTGAAAGATTAGGCTGCGCTAAACCCTAGACGAAGCCCTGACGCCCTAGACCTGAAAACTCAAAAACTCTAAACCCTCAAACCCTAAACGCCTAAACCCTCAAACTCTAAACCCCTGAACCCTAAACTCTAAACCCTAAACGCCCTATATA